AACAGACAAGCTAGTAGCAGCATTTAAAGTCCTGGGAAAGCGCAGTGGCAAAAGTCAGCCCAAAAATTAATTGGAGTAAAAGCAAAATTCTTCCAGTTGATTACTCTGAACACCAAGTGCTCAAGCACCTTAATGGGCAGCCACCCAAGACTGTCAGTGATTTCATCAACCTTGCCTTTGGCATCAGTAACATGGGCAGCATTGAGAAAGCATTGCAAAAGCACAGTCAGTAGTGGGGCACCTCATTAAGAGCATCTTCTGGAAACCGACCACCCTGCTAAGTAGGGAGATGAGGCTAAGCATATACAATGCTTTGGTGGTCCGTATTCTGAAACGTGAGACTGAAACATGGCCTCTCACTATCATGACTGAAAAGAAGTTGGACACCATTCAAGTAAAGCATGTTCAAATAATCAAAAGCCTCAAGGAGACAAATTCAAGTTGAATGAAGAGATCTGTTTTCTAACTAAACAGGTCCTGCTTTCTCAAATGGTCACCCAACACACTCATGTGGTATGTTCATCTGCTCTGAATGCCTACCAATTTCTCTCCAAGAATCATCTTCTACTATGATCCAATGAAAGCAGATGAAAGACACGCCCTGTAAGACCTAAAACCCATCTCTTACTGGCATCCTACCCCATAATCCACCAGATTTGGCTCAGGACAGAACATCATGGAGGCTCATAATACATTCAGTGACCCTAAACTGTCCAAGCAACAGCATGAGAATGAACCAGTCTGCACAGACTGGCAAATTAACTAACACCCACCGCACTTTCATGTTTCTCAGTATTAGTGCTCTTTCACAAGTGATCAATTCCCATAGCAATCCAACATCACTCGGAAGATTCTCAGTTCAAACCAGTTATGCTGCAGGTCTGTGTTATTTGATGAATTTAAGTAGACTACACAATCCCACTCAAAACTGACTCAATGAGAGGAAAGAAGGGACTTACCTGGACGTTCACAGACCACACCTAAGACTTAGTTTACATGAATAATCAACTGCAACTGTGACTTCCTCTGACCTACAGTTACTCAATAACAGAGTTAAGTTTAATGTAAAAAGAATAAGGCATCATGTATTCCTCCTAGTAGCAATGCCACTAGAACCAAAAGAGGCTGTTCAAAAATGAAAAACAATTCTTAACTATCAGATTAACCAGCCATGTTACGAGTTACACACAGCTATTTTCCCCTCTTTCAATCACTGCCATTCCATTCACAAGGAGATATTTAACTGATTTTGTGCTTGCCATCTACATCATGAAGTCTATTAGAGTGCTGACCCTAACTGCATCTAGAAAGAGGTTGTGACACATCCAATTATGACAATGGAAGATGCACTTCAACCCATGTAACCAGTGGAAGAAGAATAGCAGAAGTGAGAACCAAGCATTTGGAGCAAAGCCAAAATATGCTACAAGGCTGCATAGTGGTCTACCATTGAATCACTACAAGAGCCTCCAGATCACAGATTCCCACTTCCCTGTATAAGGAAAGAAAAAACAGAAATTTCACCCACGTTTCCTACCTGAAAAAAGGGAGAACTGCCATTAAGCTACACATCTGTAGCTTTTGGAGAACTAAAAATAAGTTTACTTTTCCATTTATGCTACAATTCTCAGCCTGACAAACACAAGGTACACCACCATGCAGTCATCCAGTCTTCTGAAAGACATGGTGAGATTTTCCAAAGTGACTTGGGAAAATAAGTCATTTTTCAAAATGGATTTAAGTATCTACATTCCTTTTGAAAAATGAGACACTCCCAAAAATTTTACCCTTGATCTCCCTACCTGGTTCCTAGTTTAGAGTCAAAGACAGATGTGTCATCCAGTTAGAAACCCCACAGTTAAACAGACATTCTACTGCCAAGTCCATTCTAGGCTTGCCTGCGTAATACACCAAATCCTTGAATGCTCTAGCAGGAGTGTCCTCAGTGCTATATAATTTGAACACTTCATGATGAAAAATATTTAACAATTTTGATAAACAGTAAAAAGATTGGCAGTTTAGCCTTTCCTATCAGCAAAGATGATTCAGATAACTTAGGCATTAAATGTATACTCAAAAGTTAAATACATATAGAAGTTTTGGTAGGCTTCCATACACTGCATTTGCAGTTTTTCCCCCCCATCATGTGCCTTCCAAATAAGAATTGTGATGTTTTATTCCTCTATCATCTTTTCAAATTGTGTGATACCATGTATATAGCAAGTTTTACTTACACCAGGTTAGGCTGCTATATCATGCAAACGAGCGTCAGCCAGAAAACGGTGTCTGTGGCTACACGCTATGCTTAAGTAAATTCTTACCAAGTTCAGATGTGACTTATTGTGGTAGAACTGGATACAAAAAAAAAACCTCCTGAACTAAAGGAACACCTGCCATGCTCATCACCTCTCCTATGTCTAGAATGCCCTTTCAGCTCCCAAATTACACAGCAGTGCTAGTGTTGAGATCTAGAAATAAACTGAACATTTTGGACAGAGTTCTTTTCAAAAGAAAAAGTAAGATTTAATTCTTTGAATTTCTTCCCCAACTTTACTAGGTTCAACTATAGACAAGAGGTAGCTATTGTATTTTCAAATAATACTTATCAAAGCACCAAAATGATGAAAAGTTTAAACATAAATTGGTCACAAAGTCAAGACAGACCTAAAAGAATCAGAGCTCATTTGTGCTCACAAAAGAAATTAATCCACCTGAGGTTGGCATAGAGTTCACTAATTCCTCCTCTCTGCAACACTCCTTGAATCAGTTGATCCTTATAAAGCGTCAGTTCATCCTTGCAAAGCCATACAGTTGAGTCTGAGTGAAGTGAGCAGACCAAGAAAACTTCAATGTAAGTGACAGAACAGCAATGACATCCTCCTATAATTATTACTGAAGTTAATGTGTAGTATCACTACAGAGTCCCTCTTCAGTCAACACTGAAGGCAGTGAGGAATCAGCAGATTCATGGCCTTAAAATATCCTACGTACCATGCATCACAGGCTCTCATTTCTGTAGTTGCTAATTTATTTCTACTGCCTACAGGACAGTTCTCTGTTCACGCCCTGTACCTTTGTCACTCACCCTGTGGAGTTATCACACAGTTGGTACTCAAACTGCAAACTGTGAAATATAAGTAATAATGTAATCTACAAACCACTCATGAACTCCAGTTAGGTTTTGCTGGAGGGCTATCACCCTTTTCTTACTCTGTAAAGATTTTCTTCCCCCTGTTTTACATTGTTATTCCAACAATTATGTTATTTCTGAAGTGTCTGATAAAAGAATGTTTAACTTCAAAATCTGTTAAGTCTGTTTTATGAACAGACTTATTTGTAAATAAAAAGTATGTGATGTTTCTATTAGCCAATTTGTTCCTGTAGTACCCCAAAACCATTAGTACATTCTGACTGTCATATCATCTGCTGAAGTCAGAAATTATCACTACCAAGCTGACAATCATTTCAGGACAATAAACAATACCTGAATATTAAGATGAATCTGAGAGTAACTCAAAGAGCCTTTTAAACAGCGAATAAGGTTAGGATTTCAAATCAAAATTACATCAGACTGCATACAGAAAACAGATAAATTTTCAATGCGCAGTCTGAGTGGTGCGTTAAGTAGCGCCTAGCATCTGACTGGGCATCAACTATTAAACATAGACAGGACTAACAACAACAATACCCTGAGTACACTGCTAGGTCTTATGATTTGTTTAAGAGAAAAGAAAAAAAAAAAACTTGCAAAGCTATTACCACAAACCTATTAGGTATGTGGTGATGCATAGCTACCCAGAACACTGGCAGAGATGTCATTTGCTTTCAGAATGCATGCTACAAATACAAGCTGAGAGTGGTCTCAGTCATTTTTCAGTTTTACTGTGACAGTAGGTAAGTTGCTCTGTGGAGGAGAAAGAATTTTGGCACATGAGATACTGCAGCCATTCAGGAAAGAGCACTGAGATCATGCACTTGATCCCTCAGAAGCAATGGGAAAGATTATTTTCCACTGCTGCCTTTCTTCTGCCCCCTCCAATTTTTCAAGAGCAGAGACTCTCCATTCCCCTATTTCAGCTATTTGTAACTGGTAGGCCAAGCTCTACCCTCCCCCTTAACCTTGTTGCACAGCAACCTCTCATTCAGTTATACATGCTCCAACTCGCCATGGAGCTGAAGTTGCTGCTGTTGCCATCATGAGACTGGGGTTCGGCACAACCTTAGCTCTGTCGAAGTGAAGAGCTGGCAGGTACGGCAACGTCTTTGTACCAGTTTAACCAGATAGTTACCTGGAAAGATTGAATTTTAGCCTTCACAATTTTACAACAGGCAAGCATTTACTTCCCAGTGTATCAACAGGCAGCCATGGGACTTAGGCTGAACTACTGGGGATTGATTCATAGTACATTACCAGCTCAAATTTAATTTTACATTGGTTGGTTTACCTCTGTATTATGTGCACTTTGCTAGCATATTTCTTGAGCATCTCCTGTAAAATGACCTAAGCTACACATGCAAGTGTTTCCCCTACCATATACATTTCTCTTAAATTAATGTAAAATGCCAATCCTCTGAAAAAAAAATATTTTAGCTGGAGGTAGACTTGAACTAGACTTCAACAAGTGTGAATGCTAATTTTATAGCTTGAACCCCTTTATCTGGACTCCCTCAGGTAAAGGATTTTGTGCAACACTCCAAATTACCTTTAGAAGACATGAAGGCTAAGTGCTCCAGCAAACTCAAAGAGGTTACTGATTCTGAAGACTCAGCACTTGGACAACCTCATAAGGGCAAAGAGGCCTTTAGGGAATCAAACAGGCAGCCTAGCTCATGGGAGGAGTTGCTCCCTCCATTCAAGGAATGGCTGGCTGGGTGGCACCTAGGGAAAACTGTGTCCCCCATCCCTAAGGACAGCTGACCTGTCATCTGAGGATCCTACCCTTCTCTTGAGGCTGGCAGCAGGGGAGTGACTGTGCTTGGGGAATTTGCACCTCTTTTACCTGTAGTTCACACCAGGCAACTTCCACCGTAGTCTCGGTGTCCAACCCCTTGTAGACTGTTTTGAAGGAGCCTCTTCCAATCTCAATATCGAATTTGAGGAAGCGGCCGTCAAGAGAGAAGCCCACCGCCTTGGTCTCCAGCTCCTCGATATCCTCTTGTTGTCGGTTCCGCCCCTCCTGGAGCTCCCGGCTGGCGGTGGCCGCGCTGCCTACCGTGCTAATAGGGAGTAGGGGGGTGGCTTCCTCTGCCTCTCCTTTGGGCAGTAGCGGGGCGGTGTCCTCTGCTGCAGCGGGCTCCTGAATGGGTTGTTCCTCGGGGGGAAGCGACAGAGACGGCTGCTGCAACAGTAGCAGGGGGACGTGGGTGACAGAGATGCAGGAGGTCTGGCTAGCAGGCTCAGGAGGGGAGCCCAGCAGCGGGGTGATACTCCCGGGAGTGGCGACGGCCGGGGGTGCTGCGGGCTGCAAGCTAGGCAGCTCCAGAGCTGTAGCATTGGAGTCGCAGATCACGCTACGGCGGAAGAAGCGGTGCTCGGTGGCTGCAGCCCCACGACTGTCCTTGTCCATGGTGTGGCGGCGGCGCCGGTATTCCTCGCTCCGGCCCCCGCCTCCCACCTCGCCGCCTGCTCCTCCGGCCCCCGAGCCATCATGGTCAGCGACGGCTCCTAGCTTCTCCCCCACGGAGCTGTCCGAGCTAGAGCCGTTCTTGGGCGGAGGCGGCGGGGGAGCCAGGAAGCGGGGGGCCAGGCTGCTGCTCCCTACGGCGCCCTCCGACATGGTGCTGCGGGGCTCGGGGTAGCGCTGCTGAGAGGATGCGGGGTGGGAGGTGTCACTGAGCAGGGAGCGCGTCCGGCTGCGGCTGCAACAGAGGAGGGTCCCAAGGGCTCCTCACAGCGGGGCTTGGCGGCGGCGGCTGAGCCAGCGGCGGGGTGGGTCCCTGCTTAGCGTCCACATCCATCCTGCCGCGGGGAGCCGTGCAGCGGGGCCGACATGGAGCGACAGCAGCGGGGCCAGGACACGGGACTAGGGGGGAGAAGTCGAGAGGAGCCCGAGGCAGGTGCTGGGCCGGGAGCAGCCGCTGGCCGCCCGGAGCGGGACAGCCCAGCTGCTCTCGGAGAGGAAAAGCGACCGGCCCCCCCGGGCTAGGAAGCGGGGCAGGCCCAGGCCGGGAAGCGACTGCGCCGGGGGCGCAGGCCCCGCACACCCCTGCCGCGAGAGGGGAGGGCAGGCCCGGCACGCCCCGCCTGGGGGGAGAAGCGCGGCCCGGTCACTCGGGGGAGCTCTCGCCTCACACGGCGCCCATGGCGACCTCGGCCTCCTCCCGGTAGGAAGTAACCGCTCGCCGCGGGGCCGGCCCCCTCGCTGCCTGCCGGCGCCTCACAGCGAGCCGGAAACCCCCCTCGCGGGTCTCTCACCGGGGCCGCCCGCGAAGCTGCCGCAGCCGCCGCCTCCTCCTGCACAAGGCCCCGGCCCGGGGAACCCGGGTGTCTCCCTCGCGAGGGTAGAGGGGAGGAACCGCTGCGCCCGGCCCGGCTAATTCTCCGCGCTAAATGGCGACTAGCGCCCGAAACCGACAGACATAGACAGCCCCGTGGAGCACGCCCCCTCCTCCGACCCCGTTCTGCGCCTGCGCTATAGCGCCGCGCTTCCTGGGAATGGTAGTTTTTTCATCCCTCCTCTGAGGGAACAGAAACGCAGTTAACCTACAACTCCCATCGCGCACTGCGCTGATGCACGGCATCACGGGAATTGTAGTTTCCTTCTTGCGGGCTACTTACAGCTCGAGCCTGGCTGCTCCTCACACAATACTGTGGTAGAAGCTGTGCTGACTGGGGCAGGGCAGGAAGAGAGGGGAGGGAATCATTACATATGGATTAATTCTCGGAGAAGAAAGGAATCTCTCATCATACTCAGTCGACTCAGGGCTACAATGCAATATAAATTATATGCTTTAATAGATTGAATGCTACTGTTTTCAAACCTGCCCCCAACTCTCAGGGTTCTTTTTCAAAATCTAAAAGCAATGAAAATGTTTCCATGATTTGTTTTTATACATTAAAAGAAAAATAGTTTTTATCTAACCAAAAAGGATTCAGGGCTAGCTCCTCAGCTGGTGTGAATTGGCATAGCAATGCAGAACAGGCCCTTCAACTAGTAACAATTCCCACTCTGAAGCAGTTTCTCCAGCCCACACATCACAGCAAGCAACTAATGCCTGAGACAGAAAATGAGTATAAACAAAAGTGAAACTGACCAGTGTATTTTCATTTGTACATGCTGAGCACAATGGAAAAAGATAAACAAACAGTATAAATAGCAAAGGGTATGATAGATTTTAAATTCAATTTTCATAACAAGGTGTTACATGTAACCATACAAGTACAATATATTTTAAATATATGATTTTTAATCTGCCTGTGGGCTCAATCCTGCAAGATGAGCTCAGCATTTAGGTATATGCTTGATTTCAACTATGAGGGAAGTTAACCATTAAACACATCATTTGCTGGATCGGGGCCAAAGTGTTCAGCACCTTGCATGATCAAGCCCTAAGTCCCTTAAAAGTGGTGTTGCAAGTTCCCCTCCTACAATGAACAATTTTTGCTGTATGTATTATCAGGCATTTAGCTTCATATTTTTAACCAGGCCTCTAGCAGGTCTCCCATTTTGCTTCCACAAAACCATAGGCACATATAATTGTGGAAGCTGTGTTGCACCCACAATTATTTATTTATTTTGTAGTCACAGTTTAGGTCACTTGGACTTGTGACCACATATAAGCGACCTAAACTGCAGGAGCAAATAACTGTTGTGAAAAAGTGTGCCCCCAATTATTTTGCAGATCCTAAAAGGCTAGCATTCTTAAATCTGACCCTTAAAAATTATCATTAGTCTAACTGTCACAGTTTGAGACTCAACCCCAGTTATTATAGTTCAAATGGGGAAGATATAATACTCAGAATAGAAAGAGAAGCCAGCATGAACATTCACACAGATCAGGAACTTCCAGAGAGTAAGAGACACTGGTAGAAACTACTCATGTGCTTTATTTATAAAGTATTCATCCTTTGTATAATACACCAAGAACAAACTTTTTTTCTTACACAGAACAGCAATATACTAAAGTGAATGGGACTACTCTCATGAGTAAAGTAAAAGGGTTTGGACAAGTCTTTTATGCAACTGCATTTTTAAAATTACTGTAATAGAAATATTTTTGGAGATTTTTCTGTATAAACTATAGATTTTATATTGGACAAATTAACATATATATATTTCAAATACATCATTAAAAATAAGTTTAAAACCAGCTAATATTAGGAAATTGTGAATTACATCTCCCACAGAGAGGTCCTGATTGAATCTCTGTGCCTACACAGAACACTAGTGACTTTCAGGTGGTCCACAACACTGAACAATACATGACACTGAACTTGATGTGACAGTGATTCTCTCACATACATACAGTCTTTATAGATGTTGATTGTAATACTGCACTACAAATGGAGCACCCATTATTTTCTGTATATCCATATACATATCTTATTAATAATAAAAATAATAATACAAATACATAAATAATGAAATTCAACTAATGGCAAAGGGCCCATGTAAAGTCGTACTTGCACCACATAGATCCTTATGGGTGGTGGGGCAGGATTTGCCTATAAGTATAGAAAGTGCCCCTCCTTTTGCAGTGGAATAAGTGCAGCTCCACTGTGCAAAAGAGGGAATAGGATTGGGAAGGTCATACAGAGAGTTTGTAATCCCTGTCCCTGAACAGCATGGAGACCAATCTATGAGGGCTCCAGGTTCAGGTTTGTGTTTGGGAGCCTGGGACAGAGAGTGGACATGGATGGAAGATCCACAGCTATACAGATCTTCTGGTTCTTTTCCTCTTCAGGGAGGGGTGAGCGGGGAAGTACGGTTGCAAGCTATTCCAGCTACTAGGCTGGAGCAGTGGCTGAAGAATGGTTCTGCTGCAGGTCTATGGCCTGGGAGACAAGAATCCTCCTTTCTTGCCTTCCAAAAAGATTCATAGCCCAACCTGTTATCCAGGCTGGGTGCTGAGGAAAAAACATTGATCCTGATTTATCTTTACATTATTCCAGTTTTATGCCAGTGTAACTCTATGAACATAAAGCTGAAATAGCATTGGGATAAATCAAACCTCTTGGTCTTAACACAGGGTTTAAGTGGGGCTTACGTGTTGTGTAGGGCTTTGTCTGGGCCCTCTGCTCCGGGATATATGTCACCCACAGTGATTATATTTTCCCAATGTTAGTTAAGTGAAACCCTTTCACAGAGAACTTTAAGCTTTACAGAGTCTAAACACAAAAGGGCCTGAGGCTGACAAATCAGAAACTGGGAGCATTATGTAAATAAGCATGTCATCCCAAGGGTCTGATTCTGCAAACGCTTAAACTCATGAGTAATCCCACTAAAGTCAAATAGGGTTACTCACCTGAGTCCAATATTTTCAGGACTGACTCCCAAATTTCCTAACTCCTCTCACTAGCAACTCCATTGGTAAGAAGTGGGAGTAGCGCTCTGCCTTTGAAAGGCATAAAATGCCTCCTAGGCATTAAGTGGCATGCGGGGACATGCCCCTTGCTATATACATGATGTACAACAGATGTATTTGGTGCTTCACCTCTTGCAGCACAACCAGCCTGCAGCAGTACCTGCACTAACCTTGGCCCACAAACATCTTCTCTGTGGCTGCTAGCTCTGCCTACTGCCAGGAAATCAGAGGACAGGATGTGGTAGCAAAAGGATGAGGGCAGAACCACTGGCTATGTTCATACATGGATCCATGTAATCCTGAGGCTGCAGAAACAGCCATTTCATGGCTTGGAATGGGGAGAACTCTTTTCCCAATGGAACCCAACAAAATTCCCCAGCCTACAACTTACTCTGGTTTCTCTAGCTGACAGAACTGCAGGATATAGGATTTGGCATTAAATGGTGTATAATACTGTACATCTGATAGGGCTTGGTGCAGCCCCAAATGGGCTTCATTCTCATGTCCAGCCAAGTTCCACTTGGCCCGGAGGTGAGTGAGAGCAGAGGGGAGGATTAGCACTACCTTTGCTCCTTCCCTTTCCTGGATTCTTCTGGCATCTCATTAGGCCTCTAGAAGGTTATGCAGCTTCAGGGCTGACCTAAGTAGCACCTGGCTGCCTATGGGCCCAACGTTTGCTCTCCAGCAACTCCCTCTTTCCTAATCATGGACCCTACCAACTCTCTGCAACAGGGGAAGCAGCACAGAGACATTATGGCATCTTTATGCCATATGGAGATTCCTCCTATACTGGGAGAATTCCTTGATGGCCAGATTTACCAGTTTTACTGTCCGTTTGCCTAATGGGGCCAGCAAAATGGGCTCATAGCATGACAGTTAATCTGGCCCATGGCAGCCAATTATAAAACCCTCCCTGTCTTCAAGATGTAGTATCAGGTCCCTGTCAACAATCCATCAACTGTAAAGGGACACTATCAGCTTGAAATATAGCTAATTAAAACAATTCAGTTAAAAGTACTTTCAAGTTCTTCAGCTGTCATTAAGATCTTCTGCCAATTTTTGTGGTTTTACAATCAGTTTTCTCTATGTTTTAATAGTATTTTTCTCTCCTGTTGCTGTGGGAAAGACCCACACAAACAACAGAAGAGTCTAACTATAATGTAGAAACTATATACAAGGGAAAGACTGCCATTGACTTCAATGGGCTTTTGATTAGGCCCAAAGTGCTGTCACATACATAAAGTAAAAACATATATTTTTTCGCTAATCTGTTCCAATGATAGTCATCTTGTTGTTACTTGTAACAACAATAGATAACAATAATTCCGATATGCATGTGATTTTAAAGTTGACAGGGACTCTTGAACCAGAAGCTGTTGTTCTGTTTTGTTTCATTTTGTATAATGCAGATTTCATTTGTTATTGGCATTCCTGACTTGTCCATGTGACACAATATTAATGTGAAACAGTTATTATATTTTCCCACTTATGCAATACCTTACACAGTACAATCGTCTTGTGATTTTACTGCATAATTTAGAAGTTTATTTAAAAATGTGCTTTCCACTATCTCAAAGTTTGATTGCACATTATGGAGCTATGATAGCATTCCATAATTAAGAATGTAACCAACACAATCTTTCCACCACAACTTCCTCAGAACAACTCCTTTCTTCTTGCCTTTTATCACGTCTACGCTTTGGTCAGAGTATTTATTTATTTGGTTTTTTTTAAAGCTACAGGTTACTTGGACTTATTTCAGAACTACAAGAACTTGAGTAAGAGTTTCACTTTCTGGAGAGTTTAATTTGTTCAGTATATCACATTTCATTGACATCTTGATTGAAAATCTTCACATTTATTTTATTTCTTTGTCCTTAATGAGGATTAGGGCCTTACAGTCCTGTTGGAAGGTTGGCTGGTTCATTTTAGAAATATTGATTGGAAGCTCTGAGAGGCCTCCAGGGTCTCTGATGGACTTAATTAAGTCTCCAAGGTCCCTGGCAGTGTTAATGAAGTCTTCAGTGTCCTACATGGGACTTATGAAGGGTTTACAGACTGCAGAA